CCGTGCAGTGCGCACACACGATTCATCCGAATGGCCATAACCCGCCGTCACTCGCGGAACGGCCTGTTTCGCAGCCTAGATCATCGCTATCTTTCGGTAACAAGTCACGTCGAGCGAGTCTGGAGCATCTCAGCCACTCGTTCCTTCGATATTCGTCTTTCTTTATTGCTCGCTGAGGGTCGTCACCGCGCACAAATTTTCCCAGATTTTCCCAGCGTTGATTCCGATTAGAATATCCCAAGTTTTCCCAAAATAGCATGTCTCATGATGATAGCAATCGGAAATTCCATTCTTGTCGCAAACATAAGGTGAAGTCTTTTTCCCTGACGACGGCTTGTTACGTGCGACTGTCATCGCCAAAGCCGAGTGTTAGTTTGTCCGAATATCAGATTAGGAGATTAATATACGGGGCTACATTTTTTACTATGCTAAAGGGAGATTGTAAGATTCAGTGTCGCATTTTCAGTGGGACATTTTTCTCAGTGCGTATATATACACCACACCTGCGTAGATTTTCCAACTAGAATCCGTAATTATTTTGGAAAGTCGGGATCCCAATTATATCCCAAGAAATTTTCTATGCAGTTCGCGTCCACCCTCGTTGTTCTTCCTCGAGTTTTCCCGCGCGATCGCTGAAATTTTCGCGCGGAATAACGCCGACGGTGGTAATTACGATCGTAGTTCACGTCGCAGCGAATACCGCCGTCGCGATTACGGTAAAACTGCGATGATCGTTCCGCGGAGGGTCGAACTTTGTTTAGGAAAGTAATCGTGATGATAATTAATAGGTAACTCGATAGCGCTTACCGTTAACCCTTGTTACATCGTGACATAATATAAATTCTTAACCGGCTTACGTCCGACGTGCATTACGTCGCTATATTTCGGCGAAGTAATTTGCAGCATTTTTCTCGCGTCGGATTCTGTTGCGTAACATTTGATGTAAAATGCGCGTCCTGTTGCGCATTTGCAGAAGAAGATAAGCGCGCGTGAATCGCATTTGCGCATCCTCAACATTTACGTCGGGATATAACTCTTTCTCTCTCTCTCTCTCTCTCTATCTTTCTCTATCTCTCTTTTCCTCTTCTGTTCCCCTCTCTTTCTGTTTCGTCGGCGTAATGTCCCGGTGTCCAAGAAACTTCGGTAGTTTCGCTCTATGCATTTCCTCTTCATTGTATGAGAGCATAATGCGCGGCACTTACAAGCATTACAGGCGAAGTAATACTTCTGTACGACGGAAGTGAACGCAGTTTTCTTTTTTGCGAAGTGGCTGCGACAACTGCGGCCGGCAACTGTTTACAGGCAAAGTTACAATGTGAGACACCGCGCGCGCGCGAATGCAGAGACTGCATTAACGCGGAGACTTTCTTATCGTTACAATAAAAGTAGACCCATTCGCAGCGCGTATCGCCCCTCGTCTCCTCTTAAGTAAATATATTTCACAAAACTGTGTAACGCGCGTTTCCTCTCGGCAAGAGCGTTCGAGAATTTACTCGCCCCATGCGCGAGCTGTCGCCGCCGCTTCAACGCGAGCTCGCGGTAACGAACGCGTTCATTCGCACAAATTGCGTCCCGAGTGTTCCTTTGCGCATTTCAATTCGTGAGATTATCACCTGTCCGGTATAATTCTCTCTCTCTCTCTCTCTCTGTGGTATCGTTATCGCCTTTTTTTCCCCTCGAAAGGGATCGTAGGGCAAAACCTGGAGATATTTCTGTTCCTATTTCTAATGGCGATCTTCCGGTCGCGCGACGGTAGCTCTTTAATAACCGCGTGCTCCAGAAATGGCTGTGTAAATGACACGTATGGCAGTCCACTTGTGCGAGAACGAACGTGTTGTACATTTCCACGGGTTATCCATTTTCATCGCGGCCGTGCCAGATTTCACGCACCGACCGACCGGCCGGCCGTTCGCGCTTGTGCGAGCGCACACGTGTCATTACAAAACGTATTTCAACAATATACATACGTAGACGCACACGGGAACTAGGCCGACGCGGCAAACTAGCCGTTAAATTTATTCCCATCTGTTGTCGGTTTAATCGACGCGGGAATAATTCGTCATTAATCATCGCGTAATGATGCAACATTAAAAGAAGTAATTCGCCCCAGGATATTAATTAAATGAGCGGTTGTTTCGTTCGCGCGAATTTATTTACGGCCGCTCGATTTCAACGATGAATCGCCCCCGCCCGGATTCTAAATGCAGCCGCTGCGGAGAACGTTAATTTACATTCGCAGAAATTGCCGCGGCATGTCCGATTAAAAAATATTTGTCTCCCGGCCGAATGTACCCCGCGGCTTCGCGCGTGACCGATCAGCGATTGTGTGAATTCAGGGCGATCTTAATGAGAGGTGCGCGCATAAACCGCTCTCTCCCGCATCCTCGCATAGAAATTCTCCCAGATTTTCTATATATTCCGATTGGAACGTTGTCCTAGAAATAGATTGTCTCGCTGCGATATCAATTTTTATCTCACTAGACTGACACAGATGTACGCTGCTACGAATGTGTCATTCAGATGACTGCAATTGCACGGAAAATTCTTGTTTTGTTAACCAAGTATCGGATAAAAATTCGGTGACGAGAAATGGTGTCTCTATCGTCGCAAACGAAGACATTTCGTCCGGACTTTCAGCTGTATTAAAGCTCGGTTGAGATAACTGAGGGAAATTGACTGAGTAGAAAGTTTCTACAGGAATGTTATTGTTTCTATAACCGAGTTTTCTGTCCGGTGCCTGTTCTTTCCGAGCAGTGGAACCAGCAATAGTTACAAAAGTTGTTAATAGATTCAACTTGGGCGAAACTTCGCCTAAAGAGTTTATCGGGCCATGTAACGTGCGTTATGTCATAACAAAACTGTAATATGTCATCACGATCCACAGTAGAGTAAAAAAAAAAAACATCTTGTACTTTTGCTAAAGTTCTTGTTAAAATTTTTGCGTTAAAATTTTTAACACACCCGTGTGTTAATTTAACGTATATTGTATTTTTATTATTTCAACATTTTGTGTCGTGTCGATATTCAACATATGTAAATAACTGTTAAAATAACATATTTTATACTTCACTGCCGCTTGGGAAATGTATGAAAGTTAACGCGAAATCCTTTACCGTGCGTAATTATTTGGGGATCACAATTAGATCCCAAGAAATTCTCCATGCGATCGCGGCTTTAAGTCGCGCGGGAGCTATTTTACGACTAATATCTTACGTCCACGACAAATCGTCGACTTCGAGTTTCCGCTTATATCGAGGGTGGCGTCGACCGGCGTAAATTTCGACTCGGACTCCACTAAGAAAACGCTCGATCTCGAGGCGTTTCGGATACGCGCGATATTCCCGTCGTGAGAGCCAACCTATAAAGTTCACGCTTCGTTTGCATTTGCCCGTTTCGGCCTATTTCTCGCGAGATACACGCGGTCGGCGGCGGTAAATCGTAAACGCCACGGCTCTTCCGGCAATGCCGTCGCGACGAAATCCCGGAAGACGTCGAGTCTCGTTCGCCATCCAGACGACGAGGACGACGTCGTGTCCCTCGTGAGATACGATGGTGTCTCGTTAACGTGTTATCCACCGTGAGAAATCGGTCGAATCCCCGGCATTTCGTGTAAATCACTTCTCGCGTGGGCTTCTTACCCCGGTGCGAGAAGAGACACCGCAGTTCTCAGTGAATAACATCGTCGTAGAACGCGACTACTTTCATTCCCGGTAGAAATTCCTCTCCCGTTTTGCTTCTCGCGATTTCGCAAACAAGTTTATTTGAATTTCGACGGGAGTCGATCTTCTCGCTCGTCGTCGTGCATCCAAGGTACGTTTGCGAGGCGTCAAAGAACCACCTTTCCGTGGGAACCAAATTCGCGGTGTCGGAAAATTCTCCATCGCTCGTTGAAAAAGCGGACTTCGTGCGAGCTTAACGGGCGGCACGTTGAAATAGCTCGCCCGTGTCGCGCAGCGCTTTCGGTGATACACGCCGTCCCTTGTTTGAACGGAACGAACTTTATACCACAAACACGCAGACCTTTCGCGCATTAAAGGGGTACGTCTGTTTGGTATTTCGATGCAGCATCTTTGTCTTTCTCACTCATTCATGCGATATTACGCGTTTCTTACCTTACTTCGTTTCGCGCGGGAAGAAGATCGAGCGGCGGTGAAAATCGCGGAAGATTAATTCGCTTGAAGAATCGCCAATTTCCGCGCTATTTTCCCCGTGAAAACACGGCCAGTTTGCCCCGATTCGGGCAAACATAATCCCGAAGTAACGCTGGATTATTAATCGCCACGGCTTCAACTCGGACCTAGATGCATTATCGACCGCGGTTATTCGACAATTAGAAGAAATTTTCGCGAGACTTTATTCTCTCTTCTTCTTCTTCTTCTCTCCTGATTCTCGCATTTACCGTTTCAAGCGGCTGATAAAAAATTTGTCGAACAAACATACCGCGGCTTCCCTTCTCTCCTCCCTCTTCGATAACGATAAAAATATTTCTTACTCATCGGGGGAGGGTCTCTATCGCGACCTAACTCAACGCTTTTTATTCCGGGATTTTTACGGAGCCGGTGCTGGCCAAGATTGATGAAACGGCGCACTGTCGGCTCGAGGAAACCGATTTTCGAGAAGGACGGAGTCTCTCTTTCTCTTGAAATTTATTACTATCTCTCTCTTTGCGTATCTTCCCTCAGTCTCCATCGTGCTCCGGGAAAACTGCGCGTCCGTCTTGCCGCTCGCACAAAAGGGTCCGGACAATGTCGAGGCAATCTATCAATCATCATTACCGGGCAAGTTTTATTTTTTCATCCTCGTTCGGCCACATCGCGCCTCTAATGGAAAAAAATAGAGCCGCAAAGAGACTTCGTTTCTCAGGAATCGCAGGACCCTTTGAATTAAACAGTTTCGGCTTTCTCCTCTTTTTTCTTTCTCCTCGAAAAAGGAAAATAAGCAACGGCACTGCGACGAACGCGTAGCATTAATTCCCGAATGCCTGTCTTTCCTTGTTGCAGGAGATGAGATCCTCTACCGAGACGAGATAGGCAATCTGTTGATCTACAATGTCAGCTCAGCCACATCCGAGATCCTGTTGGATTCGAACAACGCTGTAAGTTTCCTCCGCAAACTTTCGCCCGCTCATAAATAGACAAAGCTTTTCGAGGAGCGTGCAGTTTGTATGAGACTGAAAACGTGCACCGCGATAACGAATCTTAGAATTGTAAAGCGTCTTATTTACATCGATGTGTGTACTTACCCGACGACTTCGTTTACAATAATAAGCGGGGAGAGCAGCCGTGTATTTTCTCGTTCCGGAGGAAAAAAAAAACGTATAAAATAAAGCACACGCTGCATTATCGATCGTCTCCGACTAATGCAAAATCCATATTCGAATGCACAGCAAGACGCGCCTCGAGGAGTGTAATACTTAGTGTTGCGCGAACATTTGTACGCGTTAACGTTTGCGCCATTAACACGCGTGCGATTAATTAGAAATCGCGGGATGAATCGTCAATTAATTGCAGGGAACCGCGCGCGGATTACTTCCGAAATCGCGGGTAACGACCGAAACGCACAGCGCAACGGAAATGCCATCCCTCATGTCTCTCCTCCTCCCCCCCCCCCACCGTCTCGTTTTCTTCCCCGCGCTAATTCATAACCGCGCGCGATCAATTAAAACCGTCCGCTTCCCTACCGGGCGCGTTTGTATAAAAACGGAAGCCGGATCGCGAGGAGGGAGGAACAGATCCGTGGAATTATTTCTCGATGCGGCGGGCACGCATCGACGCGCGCGCAAAAGCATTATCCCCGCGACGAAGAGGTCGTCGGTTGCTACGGTAATTGCTCGTTATCTTTCACGTTCTGACACGTGCGACCTACCACGGACGGCGATACCTCGTTCGTATGTAGTAACGCCCGCTGTAAAATGATTCATTACCGACGTCTGTAGCGCGTTATCCGTCTTGGCGAAATTTAACGATACGAGATGTCGCGAAACGCTGCGGACGATTTATGTACCGGCCGTTAAGTAAGTGTCGCCGAGTCGAAATTTCAATTCCAGGACACTGGTCTTTTTCTTCCGCAAAGTCTACGGTTTTATTGGTTGCACAGAATTAATTTGCCGCTTTTGTACAGTGAAAGCACACGCGGGAATGAGAATTGTAGCATTACTCGGTATGTGACGATTAACCCGATTAGAAATTTCAAGGTGACATCGTTTTGATTTTTGAGAAATTACAAAAATGTAACTTTGAAAGGGAGAATATTTATTTTCCACCTCAACTTTTGCCGGTTTTTCGCGCTTTAAAAATCCGATTTTCTGCTTAAAAATATTCCACGCGCAACGATAGTCGTTCGTTTGACGGATGTTTTATCTGGCCTTAATCCGATCAATACTTTTCGAGATAATTTGCCAACCAGATAAAACCAGGAAAAATATTTGACGAGAAAAATACGTTACGAGAAAAATGCAATCGAGTTTCAGTATCAAATAGTTTTGAAGTGAAATGGAATTTGTTGTGCTTACGTCTAATCATCAATTCCTGGGCCGTACAGCAACTCAACTCCAGCCGTTAATTTGTCCTGGAATTTCGCATTTCCCTGTCTGTGTGGGAAACGAGCCTCTCTAGTCGTTTCGCGCATTGGCTACGCGCTGAATATCAATATTTTGGCAACATTCATACATTTTTTGCTTATTTTATCGCCAGGTTTTTCCAGGCGGTATGCAATATGTATGAGATGCATATGACTGTTGTCGAATTATATTGTTACAAAGTTTACGGCAATTTCGATCGCCGCAGTACTTAACACAGTGAATTTCCATATCATCGCATTCAAACTCTCGTCATTTTGTTAAAAGGTTTCAAAACATTTTTCCATTAAATCTGTCCTACTCAATGTATTTATATAAGCATCGTCCACAAGGCGCTCGGAATTTCCACTTCACGGAAAATGCTATATCTCTGTCAGTTTTTCAGATTTTCTCATCAAACTTTGAGATAATATTCTTGAAAGATGTATCTCTGCCGAAATATGTTAAAGGAAAGAAATTGATTTTTTTTTTTAATTCTACACTGTTCTTCTATACTATTCTTCTCCTTTAAAACACCGTTTGGGTTAAAGTAGGAGTGGATTATAGAGGAGAAGGTGATATTATGTGCGGACGCATAATTTTCCGATAAATAACGGAGATATTCGAACATTTCCAGTATAAGACTTAATAAATTAAGACGGTTGATGGAAGTCCCCCTCTCACCGTGCAATTTTCCGCGGAATTTCGCGAGTGGCGGTTAAGCGGTCTCCTCGCCGATTAAAATCTCACCGCCCTCATCAGATACAGTCGCCGTAATCAGCGGGCGAAGTAAACCGTGGATTCTTTCAATTAAGCGTACCGAGGCGGGCGGCCGCTAAAGAGAAATTGCAACGGCTAACCGACGCGGCCCGAAACTTTATTTTTAGCGTCGAACTTGCGCGTTACCCCGGCCGGGTCTTCCAGCGAGTTAAATAAAGTCCCTCGTTTGCCGCGCGTTACTCCAATTCTTCGGGAGTGTTCCGAACGCGCGAGAAGCCCCGCGAGCCGCTTCTCGCAGACGGACGGTCTTATCGGGGCGCATTCTCGTTGTTAGTCCGAAAGCTATTAGGGAGTTTATGACCCGTGTAGCCCCGTTCACTCTCCTGAATGCGCGGCGTAAGCGAGAGTAGGCTCGCCGAATGCAATTGTCCAAATGCGCTCGCTCAAAAACTGCCCTCTCTCTCTCTCTCTCTCTGGCGTTAGCGATATTCTGCGCTGAGATTTCCAGCGCAAGTTTCTCGAAAGTTACGCTCGCGTCGGAGTGAACCGCCAACACGAACGTTCAATTTTCGAAGCGGAGTCGCGAAGTGACGTCCCGACCGGTTGATATTGTACGGTATGTTTAAAAAGAAATTATCTATTTATGCAACTGAAGTTGTGGCGGCCTAGGTAGGGAAGAACATATAACCAATATGGCAAAAGGCTTTTTTATCGATGCAGAGAAACTATCGAAGATCGTAAATACACACGGCATTCAGCAGGAACGAGTAGCTACAAAATCGTTGAGAATCGACGCTCGCGGCGATTGTGGATCGTCTGTGCCTGCGTTTCATTTCTGTGTGCACGTCTGTGCGTAAAAAATTTCCGTGTGAAAAATTTCACACGTTGAAGGGCGATAAGTTTATTACGTGCGTGTCAAGCTGCCCCGATGGGATACTTGGAAATTAGTTTAGAAAGTTGCTAATAGAATCACAACTTTACCGCGTAACGTTATAAAACTGTCGGCGTCACTTTGTTTTCGTGCCAATATTCTACCCGGCGACGAAATCGGGTCTTCATTTTTTTTTTCTTCCCTTTTTTTTCACTCACGTTGCTGGAAGCTCGTCGAGGGCGAGCGGCCCGGCTGATGGTTTGCGAGATTTCAAAATTAATGATTCGCGGCGCCTTGGGAACGCACTTCGACGCATTTTAACGCGACTTGGCGTTTCGCGCGCGCGATATACACGATTTTGAAAAATTAACGAACACATCTGAGCACCGAATTATTCCGCGCAGCGCTCCTCCCGGGAGAGAGTAGAATAAAGGGGTAAAATAGATATATATTTATAAACCTTGGGGTCGAGGCCCCTTAGAGTATATAGCAATAATATGTAATAGTTGCTTGTTGAATCCTTGATTTTGATTAATATATATAGCTGTTTGAAACACATTTCGCAGTTACGCAACGAAAGAAATTGAACGGCAAACAAATGTTAAGTCGCAGCGTTCTCATTTTAGTGACAAGTAAAGGCGAGGCATGTGAAAAGCAGAACTCTAGGGAAATTTGCGTGAATTAAAAGTAACGTGATATAACAGAGACGTAAAGGAAAAAATTAGAAACAAATGGCAGAAGAATTAAAACTGGATGCTACATATTAGAAATTGAATGCACTGTGTATGAAACATGCACGAGGAAAAGCAAAGATCTCAATGAAAAATTAAGAAAATAGAGAAAGAAGAGAAAAGCAAAGAAGAAGGAAAAGCAATTCGGAAAAATTGTTTAAAGCCTTATATCGACTAAAAGCAGCGGGAAAGAAAGACGGAGAGCGAGAGGAGCCCCTTCGCCAAATATTTCACGTAAAAATAAATTGAATATGGGAGAGAGAGAGAAGCGTAAAAAAAGAAAAAAATAACACGCAGGAGTTGTATATACGATTAAGCCCCAATAAATACGCCCCACAGTGAGAATTAGAGCAAAACGTGAAAAGAGGCAACGCGTCGGCTCGCC